AGTCTCTGAGGAAGTAATGATGGCTGTGTACAATGGACATCCATGGAACATAGAGAGGCTGCTGATGTAATAGGCATAGATATTTTAAAATGACATCCATATCTCTCTATCTGCCTGAGGGATTATTGATACAATGGATCCCCAAGAAATGGGACATTTCCAGGTAATCTCATGCTAGGGGAAGGTAGAGTTTCCACTCAGATGGAAACTTCTCTCTTGGAAAGAGATTTCACACAGTTCCCGAAGACTTGTCAGGCCGCCATTGGTCCAGACAATGTCAAGTCTCTGATTAGAAGGGCCACACATTGACAGGTCTACTTAGATGTGTGTTTCCTTGGCCCTCTAATTCAGCTTTGATTTCACTTCAGGACAATGAAGATGGACTCAAGGTGGAGAGTTCATTAGATGACTTGGTCCCTTTTCCCACTATGACACTGAATGAATGCTTTTTCTGCTTTCCACTATTATCTGGCTCTTTCAGTTGACTTTTGAGAACTGGTGGCCAGAGCTAACTGGGGGCATAAGTTGTGAACCTCAAGGTGGATTATACTGGTAAAAAGGACTCAGCTTTGAACTGACCAGGCTTCACTTTCAGATGCCAAGATATTTCATAAGGATATTTGTGCTTAAACACTGATTTCTGTTCTTTAAAACTTATGATCAGTGTAAAATGGCTTTTATAGTGGATTACATCAAAAGAGTGGCTCCTGAGGGAGTATTCTATTCTTAGCTTGGGTCTTCAGCTCAGGGCACTCCTGAGAGTCCTCATTTAATACTTCCTGAGGGTGCTCTGTGTCTATTGAATACTCTCAAGATCAAGAGTTAATGTCAATCATGGAATAACTCAGTCAAGGTTTGCCAAATATTTTTTGAAACAGCATCATCATGGTTATGTTCAGATCTAGGCAATATATGGCTACAATAATTTTATATTGGATTAAGAAAGGTCTATCTTGTTGTCTCCTGCTAAGCTAGTTAGTTTTCTTATGAAGTCTAGGATCACCTGCTCCGGTACGATGCTGTACACAGTTGAGTGGCTCTCCAACATCAATTCAAATGATGAAAACAATCTCTCATTCACATGCTCACGGAACAACATTTGTTACACATACTCAAAATATTGTGGGCATTATGAGCCTTGACAACATATTTGCAGCTTGTTATAAATAAAAAGTACCATTATTTTAGAAACAAGAACATTTAAGGGAAAAATTAGGAAATGCTTTGTGTGGAGTGTGTGTGTGTGTGTGTGTGTGTGTGAGAGAGAGAGAGAGAGAGAGAGAGAGAGAGAGAAAGAGAGAGAGAAAGAGAGAGAATGAGAGAATGAGAGAAAGAGACACAGAGATTCTCTATATCCTTATGTACCAATAACATTTATTTTTAAGCAAAAATTTGTAGGATACTATTTCATCTAACACTATGTCTTATTGAGAAAAAAGAGTTGATAAACATCTCCTTTGCATATAAACCCATTTATTTTGATAAGATTTAAATGACTGACATTAGGCATTCAACCCAATTTGGTAAGGGAATAGATAAATTTCCTTTCACGAAATTAAAGAAAAAACATTGGGATTATGTAAGACATGGAGACCTATAAGAATTAAAAGAAAGTGTATATGCCATATACAAACACAGATACATAACACAAATATACACATAAATATATATACATAAATAAAATAAATAATTTTTAAAAGGAGTTACACATTATGGGACTTTGGAGCAGCAGTGTTGTGTATTTTCAACACTGTTGTCCACTAAGTCCTAATATACCACTCAATGGAGATAACAAAGTGTCCTAAGCCAGTAAAATGCATTTATTTTTACAAATATTAAATTGTTTTACAATATTCAAAAAGTAACACACCTCTAACCTCACTGGTCAGGGGAAAAAGACAGCGGCACACAGATCATACCAGCATGATTTCCATAGTGAGTTCCTGGCCATCTATGGTTGCATAGTGAGACCCTGTTTAAAACAAAAGAAAGAAGGAAAGGAAGGAAGGAAGGAAAGAAGGAAGGAAGGAAGGGAAAAGAAAGAAGAAAAGAAGGAAAATGCAAAACAAAGAAATTACCATTCAACCCAATTCTGTGGTTGTGGTGTGCCATCTTTTACTAACTAAAACATAGATTAGATATTAGACATTGGATTGTGTGCCACGAAGTCTCGAAAACATGATCTGAGAGATCCAATCTGACCCTGGATAGCAGGGATAACTTGTTTAGCTCAATGTGACTATAGAATGTAGACAGTATGAGTTCAGTCAGTCTGAATTTTAATTTAGTCAACTAATGGTTGATCAAATTTGGATAAGCTAATGCAATCACATCATGATTTCAGTTAATAGATACAACCTAGTACCGCATATAAACAAATTTACTTGGTCTTTCTATTGAGCAGTGGCTGAGTTATAGTTGATCCAATTTTTAAAATTCCAATTTACTTATGTTAGTAATTTGTTAAGACAAAAATGCCCATGTAGCTTGAAATATTTTTTCTTTTCCTGTTGTCATTAATCTTTTAATGTTTTTGAGAAATATGAAGATGTTTAACCATGTGTAACTGAAGGAGTGTACAATGTTTATATGCATAAATATGATGTTCTATATCTTAATAACTTTCTAGTATAGCCACTACCATACATTAGATATGTATTTTAATATTTTAAAGAAAGACATATTTTTATTAATGCATGTGTTAATTTTTAATGATAGGTATTGGGCTTTGTGTCCAATAACATGAGACTCATAAGAGATCACATTTAAGATACACTGAAGAAATCCCCAAATGTGATTTAGTAGGTCTAAAGACCAATGCAGGCTGGGATTACTTTTCAGCAGTGACTTCTCTCCATTGAAGAGCATATTAAATTCTAAGAGAGATAACTATTTTGGACAAATGAAAACTTAACTTCTCCAGCCATTTTTAAACACAGTTTTCATATTATAATATTTCTCCAATATCCATGTATGTCTCTGACTCAGGCTGCTGTTCATAGGTTTTTTGCTTTGTGGTATACCATAGACAAAGATCATGGTGCAGCATCTTTCGCATCACAAATGTTCAATAGATATTTGACATTATTGCTGCCCATGAGTATGCTGTTTTACTCCAGGGAAAAGAATCTGTGGTCCATATTATGATGATAATAATAATAACAATTACTAGAGGTAGGGCATGCAATCATTGAAATAAACATAGAAGTTTTCCATTTTAATTCAGTATCCTGGATATCTTTTTAAACATGCTTGCAAGCTAAAAATCTACCTCTTGACCAAAGATCTGGTGTGTAGGATTACCAATTGATGGATCAATAAAATTATCCACTTTTCTGTCAGCCTGATATTTTCACAATTTCTAACTTCCTTGTTGAAATATGAAACTCAAGTTGAAATTCAAACATGATTTTCATTCTGCTACATAAGGACACTTGCTTTCACACCATAACTAGTTCAGCATGTAAACTTTACCTTATTATGCTCTGTCAGTCTGATATTTTCACAATTTCTAACTTGTTGAAATATGAAACTCAAGTTGAAATTCAAATATGATTTTCATTCTGCTACATAAGGACACTTGCTTTCACACCATAACTAGTTCAGCATGTAAACTTTACCTTATTATGTTTTTTATATATACTGCCTTATCCACACATCATAAAAGAGGTTTTGTTCTATTTGTTTTTGTTTTGTTGTTTGTTTCAAAAGCAGTGATAAATTCGTTCCATCATTTGTATTAATCATAAAAATGTCTCAAAGTACTCAAGAAAGCTGTTCAGTTAGACAATTATTTTAAAGATTTTAGGTGTGTGCAAGGCTGTTTCCTTCTAAATTAGCAAGCTACTCTTGCTCTCAGTCGGCTTCAAGTTTCTTTTGTTTTCTTATCCTCTGTTGTTAGGTTTACATTCAATTCAGTCTTCTTGACGGCAGGATACAATCGTATTTCTACGGCAGAGTCAACCAAACTCAGACAATATTAGAGTAAAATGGCTCTAAAGTAAAATAGGAAAGCGCGGCTGCTGTGCCTTTTCCAGGCTTTCTGGCAGTGAAGTCCAAGGCTCCTGCAAGTTACAGTCTCCAGTGACAGTAGTGTAGGACTGAAGAATTTCGGAGTTATTTAGTGGACCGTAGTGTTCTGCATGTTGTGTTAAACAGGATGCATAAGTCTTTGAGGCTATTCCAACCACTGCCCTGACACCCAGGGGAAACCTTTGGCCTCAACAAAACCTATGCTGTGGGCTTCATTTGTGTCCCCCTCCTTTTTATTGCACTGATTGGATGTGCACAGTATCTTCAGTGTGTGGGCCGTCTGTCCTAGAGTAGCCATGAAAGAGCCATTAACAAGGCTCTTCAAAATCTCCTATCTGAGAAGACAGGTCTGAAAAGGCAGAAGCAGAACTGCTGAAATCTTAAAAGGGAAGAGAGAAAGGTGCAATGATGTCTGGAAGGATAAGACAGGCACATGCTATGCACGAATGAACTACATAGACTGATTTGGGATTCTCCCCCCTCTCCCCCCGCCCCGCCCCGCCTGACCTATCAGAAAAGCATACTATCCAAGACAGTACAAAAATATTCATAATGATTCTTTTAAAAAAATCAGATTATAGAGTCCACGCTTAAAAGCTGCCTTGCCTTTGTTCGGTGTCGGTATGTATTACACAGCCCAGAGGTTTTTTCAAATACTGTGTGGGCTGTAATAGTCCATGGTAACCCGCTTGAGCAAACATCCCCTTGGCAGGGTTACACGTTAGCCGGGTAAAGAGCTAAAGACACAAGCATGGTTGCTGTAAATCGCGAGGCGAAAGAATATCTAAAGACAAGCTTGTTGCATTTTTGCAGGCACCAAAGCTGCCTTAGGAGCTCAGGTGAAGGAAAACAATCTTCAAGTCTCACCTTTTGTCCCTGGATACTACCCCACCACACTCCATAGGTTTGTTTTCAGCCTGCGGACGGGAGGCTCCAGTGCCCGTAGGTGGCGCCCCTCGTCCGTGCTTGCACATCTTGCCGCTCTGCTGGCGCAGCTCGGAACCCCGCGTGTCTTCCCTGGTCTTTAGAGCCCAGAGACTGCGTTTTAATAAATCCGCGCGTTGGCACTGCGCTCTACGAGCCCCGGGGTTCAGAGAAGCAGACACACAAACGCAGGCAGGAAGCGCCCCTTTAATCTCTGCCAAGAGCTGACGTTTCACAAACGGGAGATTCTGGAATTGCAGTTCTAAAACCATCAAATTACCAAGCTTTTTCCTTCCTTTAAAAAAAAATACTATTCGGTTTTTTTTTTAAGTATCCGTGCCCCTCCCCCTTTAATTATGAAAGTGGCCACTCCGTTCAAGACTAAGACTTGGAGGGACTTTGGAAAAGAAAAGGAATCTGGAAGAAGAAACTCAGCTGGTGCTTCCGAGGGCGCCTAGTTTTAAGAAGGCACCTAGGAAGACTGCGTCGGGCGTCTAGGTGAGAGTCGGACTCGGGCTTGGCAAGGTGCCAGGGGGACGGGGGTTGGGGGGAAAGTCCGAGGGAAGGGGCTGTGGATTCTAGGACGAAAGAAGCAGGGAGTCGGTAGTTGGCAGCTCCGGGATGTGCCCTCTGGAGTCTGGGGGAGAGGCAAGAGACCAGGGATCCTGTTAGTGAGGTGCGCGGAGGGCGCGCGGGACTCGGAGGAGGCAGCCGGCGAGCAGCGGTGCTGTCCCCAGGCTCGGCGCGGCTCTGCAGAGCGGGAAGCGTGTGGGTTCCAGACGCCGCGGTGCGCGGAGCTGCGTGGAGCGGCGCGCTGTGTGGGGCTCCTTGGGAGCGTGGGGCCGGGGCGTGGTGTGCTTGCGGAGCCCAAGCGGACCGCGGGAGAGGCGGCAGGGCGGGGCGGCGCGGTTATTGGCCAAGCTCTGGGAGAAGGGTCGTGCTCCGAGGTGTCCTCCTCCCGCTAGCTCCCGCTTGCCTCATTTTCTCCAAGCAGAAAAACTTCGCGGACCTAGGTGCTCGCCCATCATGGATGTTCCAGGTAACCCACCCCATCTGAACTCCTGGATCTGGTTGCTAGTTGCCTTTTTAAAATGCTTCACCAGAACCTTGAGCAATGCTGGGGGTTAAAGAGAGAGAGAAGAGTCGGTGGCGGAGTGCGGGGGGGTGGGGGGTAGGAGGTGTGAGGTGGTCCGTTATCCTTTGTGTAGGAACTGCAGACAGGATATTTATTGAAACCCAACTTATCTTTTCTTAGAAAGAACACTGGAAGAGTTGCTCGGAGAGCGTGGGTGGCAAGGGGAGGGTTCGTTCTGTTTGTGTTCCTGGGCTGGGTATTGGAATGGTGGGCCTTTCCGGGTTAGCTGAAGAAGAGGGTATCGGTTGCAAGTGCCAACCCGCCTAAGTTAGCAGAAAGGTACAGAAGAAAGGGAGTCCGGTCCAAAGACAAGATCCTGCAAATGAGTGAAATCCGGGGATTCTGATGTTGGAAGAGGCTGCTAGTTGTCTTTGCCAGAAAGAGGACTCCACCAGCAATCCTAAGGGGTTCCTCAGTGACTTCAAGGACTTGGAAGTGGGTGTTAGAATTTCGCTCCTCACCCACCCCTATCCTGCCTTTCTGTTTCTGTCCTTTCCCTTTTCTTTTTAAGCTCAACCACCCAAGGAGCTTTCTGGAGATTTTTCCCCCTCCTTTGGTGGTGTGGGTAGGCTCTTTTTATGAGATAAGGAGTGTTTAAAAATTTCTTCCTGGATAGAAAATTAGAGGAAAAGGGGGAAGGCATGGAGAGGAATGTTTTTTAATGGCTGTCCAGAAAGCCACTGATATAAAGCTGACGAGGCATCATTTTTTCTTTGATTGAATTTAATTCCTCTAGTGTTGGGATGAGTATGCAGGGGGCGACGGTGATGACGCCGTCTTAGAGGTCCCCAACCCCTTTTACAGGGTCTTACAGAATCGCCCAGAACCCCAGGCTCCGGAATCTGTTTGGATGGGCTGACTGAAGCTCCAGAGGCTTCTCGGATCCATTGTGCCACATCTGGAATGGGGATAGCTGTGTGGGACCACGGGGATGGCCTTCCCGAAAGGGATAGAGAGCACCAGGCACTTGCCCTGCTGCACACACCTTTCTGCCTAAGGATTCCAATTCTTTGCCCTGACAGGTCCTCTCGTGCCTTCCTTCTGAGAATTATTTGGCCTTGATCATCTGAGCCTGGGACCCATCCCAGAGAAGGCTACTGCTCCAGACCTGAGAGTTCCTGTGCGCACCCGGGCATCCCTTCGGCTCCTGCTGGCCTTGGCGTCCTCGGGGCGACCCAGCCCAGATGCCCGCGCCTGACCGGGGTCCCCGAGGGCCACCGGTGAGCATGCCCGGGCGCCGGGGGGCGCTGCGCGAGCCGGCCAACTTTGGCTTCAGCTTGGGGGCGGCGCTGGCCCTGTTGTTGCTGCTGCTACCCGCCTGCTGCCCGGTGACGGCTCAGAATGACACGGAGCCCATCGTGCTAGAGGGCAAGTGCCTGGTGGTGTGCGACTCCAGCCCATCGGGGGACGGCGCTGTCACCTCTTCCCTGGGCATTTCTGTGCGCTCAGGCAGTGCCAAGGTGGCCTTCTCCGCTACTAGGAGCACCAACCATGAGCCGTCAGAGATGAGCAACCGTACCATGACCATCTACTTCGACCAGGTTAGCGGTTAACCTGCACAGCCACGGATGAGTGGAGGACCGGCCAGTGTGCACATCTAGCTAGAGCTCCCAGCATCTCCAGGAGGAATGCCAGGCTGGTTTTCCCACCTCTGCCTTGCCCTTGCATTGCTCCTTTTACTGTTTTCCCAGAGTCCCTCTTGAACACATTGTAGTTTGTTTTTAAATACCAGCTCTCTTGCCAAGGATTACTGAGAGTCCTGTAAGGTTTCCGGGCTTTCCAAGGGTCTGATAAAGATGAGATATGAATACATTTTCCCCCAAAGAAAACATAGTGCGCTTTCCCTTTTGCTGAAGGTGAGGCAGTGTTTGTGGTGAGCAATCTTCAGGCACCTGGGGAGGGAGCATCCTCTTAAAGGTGATGCATGTAAGAGAGTTTATTATTCAAAAAGGAGTCCTACAAAGGGCCAAACCTACAGTTTACACTGTGAGATCCAGCGACAAGATGTTAATTTTCAACAAAAATAAGATTGTCCTCTGCTTATATACAGAATTTCTGCTATGGGCAGGAAATGAAACTTTTGAGGGCTACCCATACAGTATATTAAAATATAAATGCTTAACATGACAAAAGCCCGTGACTTAGGTGGCTTTAAACCACTTAATTTCTGGCCTCTGGGCCAAGCAGTCAATGATCCCAGAGATGGCTATGTAAATGTTTCTCTGGGTGGTGACCTTTCTGTGTATTCTCTCCCTGTGATTCCTATTCGTCTTCAGGAATTGAAAAGATGAGAGTGGTTTTCATATTTTTTCTAATCAGCTAATGCTCTTACCAATGGGCTTTGTGTAAAATGGAGTCCTGAAACATCTTTGGACACAGATGGAGTTACTATCTACTGGTGTTCCCTCTGTCCAGGAGCCAGCTTCTAAACCCATTTATAGCCAATGCACACATTTGATCTCTTTTTAAGCTGTAGTATTAAGTTTAAAAATCTTGCACTTGAGGGTTTAGGGAAGTTGCTTAAATATGAAAAGAAAAATATTTCATTATTTCCAAATAAGACAGCATGATATAAGAGTAAATATAATCCATATTCTCCTTTATCCAGTATTATTTTACTTTTTTTTTCAATTATGGTTTTGCACAGATAGTCCTCACAGTCTTTCTAGATCCACTGATTTGTGGAGTTTTCAGGGAAATGCAGATACTTAGTCAAATCGTAATAGGAATCTTGTTCTTAGAAACAAATTAACTTTGGTTCCTGGTTTTAAATGAGGGAGATTACAAGTGAGGGAGGCCCATTGCCCAGGGCCTGGCTGGGTGTCTTTTCATTTACATACAGCCTTGAATTTACATAGTTCCAGAATTTACAATCCACACTGAGGGGGTGAGATGGAGAGAGGAATGCGAGCAGCTGGAAGCCCGTACAGGGGAGTGCTTCCTTCTCCAGTGAGGCACCTTGGGGAACACTGAGCACAGACATCAGAGGCGCTTTGTCTTCAACAATGAAGTAGAGCGTGTGCCTGTGAGACACCTGCCCTGGAGTGGGCTGAAGTGCTACTCACAGTCTGATGAAGAGGCAGTATTCCCCAAGCCACACCGGCCAACAGGCAGTGAGCAGTTACTGGTAGCAACTCACTCTGCTCTGGGAGTTTGTGTAGTCTATACAGTCATCCTGCTAAAGTAACAGCCTAGGCAGGGAAGCTTTACTTTCTGATCAGATAAAGGACAATCCAGGGTTCTGGTGTTGCCAGCTGTTTGTTTTGTGAGCATAAAACACCCAGTGGGTTCATTCTGTTGTTGTAACAGCATTGGAGCTTTACAGGAGGAGAGGTGGGAACAGGATGTGGACACAGCAGCCCTTGAACACAGAGGGACTGAGGTGGGGAGCTTGATTTTCTTCACATTCTACTATGACCAGAGACACGGTGTATTCCCCTTCAATGTGAGGAAGACTACCAGCAGGGCCACACAATCCTCTGCTAGTAGCTACCGTGAACTTACCTGCTGTGGAATTCCCTTAGTTTGGACTAGGAGTGCCCAAGCTACCAGGTCTTTCCTCTTTGTTTGTTCAAGCTCTTTGACATGGTCCCCACACTCGGCCAACAGAGCCAGTCCTGCTTAGGAGAGGGGCGAGTGAATTTGAGCTGGGCAGCCAGTGTTGGTTGACAAAAACTCACGACCCAATGCTGTCTATGAAGCACCTACTGTGTAGTGCTAGAGGCTGGAAGACTCTGGACCGGGAAACCTCACACAGGCCATTCTCTTACTCCTCCTCAAGTGGGCTCATGGAATGGACTGGTGTGCTCCATCAGCTCAGCTCACTCTCCATTCCGTGTGAGGTTTTATGTATTAAACACGACTTCAGGTTGAACTCCCTGTGACACCCTCTTTTAAAAAGTAGGTTGAGTTCACAGGTTTCTTCTTGCTAGATTTTACTGTCTCCCATATCTCTCCATATACTGTATCATACAGAATTTACATATACCACTTGGATGTATAATTACAATATACTTCCAAAGTCTTTATTCATCAGAAGTCACGAGCATGCCTTTGGGGTGCGTTTCTTCATCGGATGTTTTTCATTTTGGAACTCAATGCTGCCTGACTTGTTTGAGTTACACTGTTGGCTTAGTGGCACTTAGTCTCAATTCTGATAAACCAACTGGCATTGGGGGTTATCTGAAAACCTATTAAGGGAATGCATAGTTCAGTACCCTGTTTCCTCCTCTTTTACAGGTTTTGGTGAACATCGGCAACCACTTTGACCTTGCCTCCAGTATATTTGTAGCACCACGAAAGGGGATCTATAGCTTCAGCTTCCATGTGGTCAAAGTGTACAACAGGCAAACAATCCAGGTGGGTTAGATCAAAGCCCTTGAATGCTTGGTAAATGGGGGGTTGGGCTCTGAGTCATCTGGAAAACCTGTCTTTCAGGTTTCAGGTATGTGGGCAATCCTTAGGGGAGGAAGAGAGCAGGATGTGGGGAAGGAGGTGGTCTCTGATCTGCTGAGCAGTCCTCTCTGCTTTTATAGGTCAGTTTAATGCAGAATGGCTACCCGGTGATCTCTGCGTTCGCAGGAGACCAGGATGTTACCAGGGAAGCAGCCAGCAATGGTGTTCTGTTGCTTATGGAAAGAGAAGACAAAGTTCATCTCAAACTGGAGAGGGGGAACCTCATGGGAGGTTGGAAGTACTCCACATTCTCGGGCTTCTTGGTCTTTCCTCTATAGACATGGAGCCAGCCTGACAGTGGGAAGGTTTTGACCAGAACCCAGGGATCTGCCCTCTGTAACACCTTGAACTTGTCTGAATAGAATGCCTTGGGCTGACCTCCATCAGATTGTTGCCGTAGAAGAATGATTTCTTCTAAAGCTCCAATATGTTCTTTGACTATTGACAATTCCTCGGGAACCTGGCCTCTAATTAGTTTTAGACGACAAGTTCTTAAGGAGAAATGAAATTATCGATTTGAGCAATTTGTACCTGTGATTGTAAAGTGGATATCGGATTTTATTGTTGGAACCATTGACTTACGTTCTATTGTTTGTACATTGTATCCTTGTCCTGATGACATAGATGCTGCTGACCCTCTGTGGATTGCACGCTGCAGTCAGGGCTTAAAACAAGAGCCCAGCAAAGAACAACCTACCAGACAGTCCTTGACCTGTGTTCTCTCTGTGTGTGTATAGCCTTAAGAAAAAGAACAGCTTCATTTTCATCCTGTAGCTTACCCCTGGGGTCTTGGGAGGAATGGGAGGGAGCTGAACACCTTGGGGACCTGTCAAAAAGTGCTTTATCCTGAGAAGCAAATTTTGCACGACTGGACTGCAATTTTTGTTTTGTATTGTCCATGGTTTTCTTTCTTTTTGTTCCCCTTCTGGGTGCTTTCTTTTCCTTCCTCAGGTTTCACTCCTCAAACCTACTTAGTTTTCATTCTGGAGTCCTGGAGAGAGAGAAAAAACAAAAACAAAAACTTATGTTCAGAACAAAACAAAATCTGCATACTTTCTTTTGAATAAGAGCAAACTAGGAAAAAAAAAGATGAAGTCCTTCTTTCACAGTAAGGACAGCAAGTAGACCATCATGTATATTCTTCCCTAAAGTCTCTCTCAAATGCATCTTCAAGCTTGCAACCTGGATTTTATTTCTTTTTTTTTTTAATTTATACTCTGGGATCCTTTAAGAGCTTGGCATTCCTCATTGGCCACAAATCCCTTTAAAAGTGGAGCTGAGGTGGACAAATCCTCTCATTGCTTTTCCTCTTGATGTATCTCAGTGGTGAGTTAGAGCTGCCTCTGATTGACCACACAATGACCAGATGCCTCAGAGAAACAGGACCAGCACCTCCTCAGATCCTCCTTTGATCTGTCAAGGAGAGCGATGGGATATGTTGACACGCTGTGGATGAACACCTGGCAAGAAGTCACCTGGACTGGAAGTCACGGCAGTTCAAGGTACTGGCTGCTGTACCCCTTCAGTGGTTTTTCAAACCCTGCTTGTTTTGGCATCTTGTACAACAAACAATATCCAGTTGCAGCTGAGACAACTGGTGCAGTGTGTGTGCACCAAGGAAATGTCACTAATCCCAAAGTAATCAAAGATGAGACCTCAAACTGGATGTCAATTTGTCTTTGTGTAACAATGTAACCAAAATATTGATGATAAAACTCATAATTTAAGATTCAGAATAAACGGGTTTGATGTCTATCTTGCTCTAGTCCCTCCACATCGTCTCTCTTAAAATGATGGGGAGGTATAGGATGAGTACCAATGACGACCTGGGATGTTAAATTTATGTTGTGATTCTTTACAAAGGACACACACACACACACACACACACACACACACTGATGAAATTATGGGTCTCTAGGGGTATATTGTTCATTTAGATATAATCAGTTTATACTGAATTTTTTCAAAGAGTAAGATTCTGGAGGAGAGAGCTAAAGGACAAAATTAAGGTTTAAGAAGTAATTAGTAATGTCAAAGATTTGAACACTTGGGAAGGTTCAGTTGTTTTCAGCTTGTGTGAAAGGATGAATTTCATGGTCAACAGGCAAGTGCAGGAGATACTGTATAACTACAGTTGGATTATAGTCCTCAGCTTTCTTTCCTAAATTGAACAAGGAAGAATGATAAAAGCTTTATTCTATTTAAATGATGTTGTCTTGTGAGGAGGGAAAATCATTTCAGGTACTCTGACTCTGGCATGAAGACATATTTCTAAGTGTGAGCTGTGTTTATTGATGCTGGGAACATAAACAGAAGGCAGATGGAGTGTGTGTCCCTTGTGTTTTGTTATTCTTAGATGCTTTAATTCTCTTTCCTTCATTTCTTTAAGTTCATGCTCAATTTAAGACAAGCAAGAAAACCTCATTTGAAGATAGTATTACACTGCAGAGATTGGAAGATGTAGGAGTCCTTGTTATTAATATTTACATCCTTTAATAATACATAAAGCACATATTTCATTGTGTTTATATCTTTATCGTGTACAGATTGCCACTTGGTAATGCTGTCTCATAAATAAGTTATTAAATTAACCAATATAAATGTATTTCGGGAGTTTATTTTCTATTAGAAAATCAGCTTCCTCCTGATGGTTGTGCTCTTAGCTTTCTTTCTTTCTTTGCGAGTGATGAGAATGCCAGAAAGTACATTAGTATTTAGCCCTCATGGTAATGTTCTGAGGTGGCTTACTATCTATTGCAGCATCTGCCTTGGTCATCCCCCTATAGAATCTATATAGATTTCTTAGTTGCTTGAGAAAGAAAGCTTAGCTAAATCAAGTTTTATTGGATATCAAAAGAGTTATAGAATACATCAATCAAAATAATACCTTTGCTGAAAATTTAGTTTGCTTGTGATATCCTTGAGAGATGTGGCACTCTTAGGCTTGTCCCAGAAGAAACATCTATACCAGTTAAAAAGTTAAGATGTGATTTTTATTGTTTGTTTTATTTTGTATTAAGAAGAATGGTCTAATATTTAGACAGAGCTCACTATTCCCGTCTCCTAGCGTAGGCATTTGCCTCTGTAGAGTCAATACCCAGACTGTATAGAATCAGTCTGCCCCATAACCTGTGAGAGGACCTCTCAGAAGTTCTTGGAGAATGACCAGAGAGGATGGGGGTAATGAGTTGGATCTTTACAGTTGGGAGAGTCTTTTCATAAAAGCATATTTTTCAATGTGTTGTTGTAAATATCGCTTATTAAATATCTGGCAGGAAGGTGATTGTGCATGAAAGTATGTTTCAAAATACTCAAAAAAGGCTACTAAAGCTGTTGTGTTACAGTGGAGTTTCCCTTAATTTAACTTTTTAGGGATAAGATAATACAAAATTCCATACTTATTGAATTTATTTGAATTCTCAATTATGCTATTTGACTGCCCCTTGTGGTTCATACTCACCTTTGTCTTCTAGTATATACTGCCAAATCTCATGAAAATGTATGCTGATAATAATATTATTCACAAAAGCAGCATAGATGACATCAGCATAGCTTTTAATGTCAGCTTTCTTATGCTGCTAATGCTTTTCAGGAAGTACTCTTTTCTTAACTTCAAATATATTCTCAGTTGACATACAACCCTCATGACTGAACTCTAGGTCCTGGAAGATCATGTTTACTATCTGTGATTCCTCAGACATTTTTGCACCCTAGTGTTTTTGGTAAATTTTCATGTACAACAGGTATCATCTACATTCTTATAGTGTGTGCTTTCTATACCAGCTTATATCAAAGCTGCTGTAGACAACAGCTATTGAATACTAGCATAAAAACTCATGCCTCTATTGAGATTTTATAGGTTTATTTACTTGCTTGAAAAAAAAGACTTAGTTAACTCAACTTATATTGAACTATTAAATTAGAAGAATTATTAAATATATAAAACAAAACAAGATCTTTGCTGAAATTTGAGTTGCCTGTCATGTTTTCTTATTGTCCAAGATAGCACAGTGGTCACATACTTAGTGACAGTTATGTAGCATAGATACTGTTGCCTTTGAAAACAGCAACATGCACTTTTTATTTTAGTGACATTATAATAAAAATACATAGATTATCTATATTTTCCTGGGATGTAGGAATATGTAAGAGAAATATTTCACAAATTACCTTCTACAAGCAAAACAAAGCATGGTTGCTACTTCGTGCTTCAACTGTAGAAAAAAAAAAACAACGAATATTGTGTCAATTATGTGGCCATATTTTCCACTTTATTATTTTTCATAATGTTTTTATTGATTATAAAGGAACAAATATTGTAATAAGATGGTGTTGTTGTTAATAAATAGTTAATATGTGTTTAAATTCCTACATCATAAAAATCATATAATAATTAGTGCAAATATGCAAATGAATGAAAACATGCTATTTTTAAGATGGAGTAAATATAGAAACAAGTTTCATTGAGTTATTCCAAAGGGTGATTTTTTTTCATGGTGTGGAAGCACTTGCAAAAAAGTAGTAGGGTATAAAGTACAGAATTGCCTTGTTTATATGAAAATTTCTTTATCTTGATATTGCTGCTAAAATAGGATATAAAATATTTTTTTAATTTAAGAACAAATCCTACAAATTCTCTGGAAAATGTTAGTGTTACTTTTCTTAGCATAATGAGGAATTACATCAAATACCCTGAAGTAAGTTAACATGCCAGTGTCACATTGGTTTGAAACTTCTATTTCCTTGTGTTTCATAAGTCTTCTCTAACCTCCTGTGAGCTGATGAGCCACAGATATTAATCATAACTTTCATTTAAACATGTCTGTAGACAGAATTCACCAAAAATTGTTTACTGCTTTGTTGATGGATATCAAACATTAAAAAAATATAGCACACACACACACACATATATGCATATATATATATATACATATGTGTGTGTGTGTGTGTGTGTGTGTGCTGCTTTGTTTCACAGCTATTCATGATATAACTGGACAGAGTCAGTGTCCACAGCCCTTTTTCCAAAAACAGAAAAGTCTTATAATAATAATTAAAAGATTCTGAGGAAAAAAATTCAAGCAAACCTATCATGTCTATGGGTCTATATACTGACATTATATCAAAATATGAATGTTCAGTAAATGAAGTTTCCTTACATTTCCAAACCCAGTAGGATCACTTGCAAATTTTAAGGGCGAAAAGCCACGTGGTTTTTGCCTCCTGCAGATAATAGAAGTTATGTTCCATCTTCCTAAGTGGGTTGTGCTGTGCGTCTCCAACTCTGGAATCATTTACGTGTCTACAGCCTCATATGTCATCATCTTCATCAGCTCACCCACATACACTCAGTGTGTAGTGTAAATGAGCTACTTGACAACTTAATTCGGAAAAGAAATCTTCATTCCCTCTTTGTAATGCCTACAGCATGACTCCCCAGGGTTAGAGTGCTGCATTGAGCTCCAGCTAGCCTAACAAATGGAAGCTTCTTACTAATGAGGCAAGAATGTCTTGCAGCCTGCACAGCCAAGCCTTGCTCTTTATGACTCTTCCAGCCCATGCTTCTGGGTGGCCAATGACCATGTTTGATTTGATGTCAGTGTTCGGGAGATATGGATTTTGCCAATACTTTGGAATGTTGAACTACTATTTTGATCTTCTTAACAGTAATCTATGTATTTAAAATATTTATTTCAATGTCCTTACCCATCAGAGTGCCCTGGGATATAGGATGTCCTTTAAATTCTTTATGTTATGATTAAGAAATAAGCATTTATTTTTTTATTCTGGATACATCTTTATTATGAAACACACTGATAGATAAAATAAAATTACTATTATAAATGTAACTAAGTTAATTAATTAAAATTTGGCAAATCCTTACTTCTAAAATACCTCCACTGTAGCAGTCCTGTAGGCTTGTGTAGTCTACCAAACATTTGTCTTTTAATTACTATATGCATTACCTATAACCATTAGATCATAAGTACCACATTTGCAGAAAAATGAAGGTGTCTTTTTGTGTTTCTAAGACCATGTCAGGGTGTCATGGTGAAATTTTTGTTCTGGTACTATAAACTGCCAATGGAAAGAACGATCATATTATTCATAGGAATAATCTGGTCTTTAAGGAAGCAGGTGTGGATATTTCCTGTGTCATCCCACAGTATTTACCAGTTATAGCCTAAGGGCCAGAAGTCATTTACGTGAGATCGCTCACTCAGTGTGGACAGCAGGGCCCACAATCAGAATGCAGGAGTTAAACTTCTGGGGAGATTGGGAGACATGGCAGAAGTATGTGGGACCATGGAAAATTAAAAAATGTGATTACTGAAATGAATAATGAAATTTACAAATGAAGAAGAGAATTTTATGTAGACAGTGATATTAGTGTAGATCCGATTTCCAGGCTACAAACTCCTTGACTGCCTCTCCACCCCATGGTGAGCAAGATAGAACTTCACAAACCTACAGCAGAATGGGGTTCCTTTGAAAATCTTGACAGCATCACAGTTAGAACTATAGGAGACTTCCGTCACTTTACAACAAAAAGATAAAAATTAAGAGACATTTAGTGTAATGCCCCGCTCTTCCTTCTTGTCTTCCAATTTGGGGGAAGGGAAAAGAAAAGGAAAAAGAAAAGGAAAGAAAAGAGAAGAAACCTTATGCTAAAGCTAGTCAAATCCTTTGAAGTAGATATACAGCCAGGTGCCAAGGAAGCATGATTTCAATACTGCCTTAACCAGAAGTGAATTTAA